TAATTGTTGTTGAATTTCAAGAATCTATCCTTTCAACAGTTGTCATGTCTGACAACAACTCAATCTAATGTATAACATTGAACAACTCAGTTCTTACCTTTTATAAACATCAAAACTGAAGTCCATGAGGTATGGTTCATGACTCTCCAGAACTGATCCATCTGTTGTTGAGGACTGCTTATGGAGCACCAGACTACACAGTGTGTGTAGGATGTCATGGTTTGATGAGGTAGACTTGCCGCAAATCCCAGTATGGCAAAAATGCAGCAAAGGGTGCAATGTGTCCTAAGTAATATGGTAAGAAACAGTAAGCATGCATTATCATCAGTTGAAATCGTCAAGTTGATGTGGACAAGCTTAAATGAAACTGGATGAAACTAAGGTCATTTCGAGAAAAACCTACTGATTTCCGACACAAAATGGCGACAAATCTATGATGCAGGCAAACTGAACGAACAAAAAGAACTGATGGGACAAACCTTATCAAATGAGCGCATGGAGAAAAGTTGCTGGCTGAATCCCAAAACCTGTAGCTGTGAGTAGTGGCTGCTGAACACCTACAAAGACAAAAATTGAAAGGAGAAATCAAATCTTAAGATAATGTTAGCCCTGATCCATGGACTTACTGCCTTTTTCTGATTCCTTGCCATTAAATTTGTGGCTACAGGTGAGTGCAGTATTGGAGCAATTTAATACTCACTGATCTGACAAGATGGGTAATGACATCATTGCGTATGTCACACTGGCTTGCATTGAGTAGAGCTGCTGTTAGATCTAACAAAGTGTCACCACACTGGCCGGGTAGTATGCTGCCCTCTAGCAACGTCAAAAGGACCTGAAATTGGGCGGCGAGGAAATAAGAAATAAATCTAAAAGTTTAGAAGAAGCCAATTGGGAAATATGCTTCTGCACCCCGCTAAATCACATGATTTCAAAAGATGATAGGGTAAACATTGCCAAACTCAAAGTTTAAAGTCTATTCTCATATTTTGTTTGTTTAATGCGAACTGTATTCACGTATTTCCACACTAAAACCTTATTCTTTATAAAGAATTACCTTCTATTATTGCAGCAGCCATTCTGTGCATGCTTATGATAACATTAAACTTTCGAGATTATAATAATAATAATAATAATATCAAAAATGTGTACTTATAAAGCGCATGTAACTACCATTATTGGTGCTCAAGGCGCTACATCATTAGTACCCTGCTCATTGCGCCAATGAAACATTCCTAAGACAATCTCAGCTCCCTAGGGAGTATACAGCTCGATGCTCCCATTTCAGCACAAAGCAGTTCAAGTCAATCAAAACAACCATCTCTGCCCTCACAGGTACCCATTTACTCCTGGGCGGGGAGAACCAATGAGTGACAAAGTGTCTTGCCCAAGGGCGCACACGCCAGTAACCCCAGACTGGACTTGAATCCACAACCTGTAGAATTACCCGCAGATCACAAATGCAATGCTCCAGAGAGTGACCCAAGCGAACACAGCCAATAACAAAAGAAGTTGGTGAACATCGCAACAGAGGTAACTTACTTCTGCATATGTGTCTGGTTGTTTGATCAGATATCCGCTGTGATGTCCTATCCACTGAGTGGTTAGTGCTAGTAATCTGTCGAGTTGATCAGCGATTTGTACTTTCCGGTCAGTGTCTGCCTCAGCAGTGAAGAGTTTGTGCATTGCACTCACACAACTCTGTGGAAAAAAAAGAAAGCATACTTAATTTATAATGCGACACTGGTGTCTTTTAAAATGACATTATTTCTTATGTACCAGAATCTTGACTTTACTTGTGATGTACTTGTGACTGGACTTGTGATGTACTTGTGACTGGACATGCGATGTATTTGTGTGACTGGACTTGTGATGTACTTGTGACTGGACTTGTGATTTACTTGTGACTGGACTTGTGATGTACTTGTGACTGGACTTGTGATGTACTCGTGACTGGACATGTGATGTACTTGTGACTGGACTTGTGATGTACTTGTGTGACTGGACTTGTGATGTACTTGTGACTAGACTTGTGATTTACTTGTGACTGGACTTGTGATTTACTTGTGACTGGACTTGTGATGTACTTGTGACTGGACTTGTGATGTACTTGTGACTGGACTTGTGATTTACTTGTGACTGGACTTCTGATGTATTTGTGATCTATTTATCTTAAGTATCTCGACCACAAGCAAAGACAATGATCTAACCTGAGTGAATAGCGATTCGGAGTTTGAGTTTCTCATCTTGTTTGTGTGGCATGATGAAACTCCAACGCCCTCCAGGAGATGCCATGCAGCAGAGACGATCATACCAGCATGACGGCTGCCAATACGGATCGGTAGGCCAGAGACCAACATGTAGACTTCGCTGATGGTTTCAACCTTGGCAAGATATTATTATTCAACACTGGTTAATTTTGCTTTCAGATATTATAATAGAACGTACAATCAAACTAGCCTCCTAGACCTGTTTTATAATGCCACTCGAAGCAGTCAATATGCAAGACTACAAATTATAAGCATAGCTTGCAAAGTACTCTAATAGTAAAACAGATCTAAGATGGTAGAATCAAGTTAAGGGATAACAGGTGAAGTGCTTTCTGTCAATGTATTGTTGATCATTTCATTTTTGCATATTTACCATAATAAATGAACTTGGATAAGTGTATTAAGTATAATCTATTGCAAGTACCCTTTCAAATAACTTCCTGTGATATGGCAGATTTTGCTTAACCAGTTCACATCAGACAACGTGTATACACGCAAGGTTTTGCGGTAATCGGAATGGATGATGGATAAACACGCAACAAGGGAGGCCCGAAATGTCTGTCAGTGGCCTGCTTGCAGCAAGCTACCCGTAGATGACAGCCTGAAGCTGTCTGGCATCCAGATTCATGAAAACAATCCCAAGTCTTGGTCTGGTCAATGTCAAAATAGTCCAGTGCGAACTGGTTAAAACAATCTGCTGGGTCATATGAAATATTTACCTTTTAGACATCATAGTTGGAAATGATGGCGTTGAACAGCGTGTACAGGGCATTCAACAAGTTAACAACCTGGAAAGTTAAGCGCAAGATGTAAAGAGTAACTCTGGTGACACTATTGGTTTGCAATTATTTTTGGTGCTACTGTAATTAGCGATTTGGCTGCTGTTGGATCCGGTTGAAATAAATAAATAAATAAATATTCTGAGTAGACAATTTGATCAAATTTGAGTGCATTTTACGTTTTGAACTTAAGCCACCTTTGAGAATATGATTGAAAAGTACCAGGCCTACATGCCCTAGGTGCATGTATATCTAGGCTGATTATAAAGATTACGTGCACAAACAGTAGATTGTCCCTTTTTGACAACTTTTGAGAGCCCTAGTTGGAGAGACGCATTGCGTGAATGTACTGGTACGCGCCATTTTGTGTAATTATGTCATCATGCCAATGTTTGTGTTGGACATTCCTCACTAAATATTTGCATAATTTATATAACTGTAGCAAAATGCTTCCATCTTCAAGTTCAATTTATTATCATTGCACTTCCGGTTACACTGGAAGTACATGTAAAGGTCAAATGGTATGCGCCCTGGACATGCTGGATCAAAATATTGCCAGTAGCAATGTCAGAAAAAACATAAAATGAGAATACTACTCTGTTCTGTTATAAAGTTATAGCCTAATTAAAAGTAAGCTCTCAAATTTTCATGTTAACCCGCTAGTAATTTGATACCAGGTGATGTCATGATGACATCACAATTTCTTTTACATCTTCGGACCAGGGTTCAAATTCCATCTAGGTTTTATCGTCATCACGTGAACTGTTTGGAACAGATGTGGTTCGTTTTGATTTTGAGGCCTTTGTCTGTAATTTAAATTCACCCAATTTTGACCTTCCAGTAGACCCGGAAGTATAAAGGTCGAGCGAGTTCACGTACTTAAGGAGAAAACCAGTAAAGAATTATGTCCAGAAAAAAAAACCAAAGAATAATTATTACCATTTCAAAAAGGTGATTGGGTCGTACCCGATCAAAAAGTCCCCAAAAACATTCAGTGTGATGAATCCTGCTTTTGACAGATTTTCAACTTTTTTCTGTCTTAGTTTTATTGTGCTGAGCATAAAAATCCCGCAAGAAAGATCTTTTGCTGTTACTCCCTCAACCGTTTTAAAGTACAGTTAGAGCATTTTCTCTTCAAATATGAAAAAGTCTTACTTTGCAGTACTTCGAGTCTGTTCCATCCCTGTGAAGCACCAGCAAGGTAGTGATCAATGTACTTGATGCAGTCCTCCTGGGCTGTATAGTGCTTCTCAAGGGAGCTCTGGTCTGAGTCCGTACCATCCCTGTGAAGTATCAGCAAGGTATAGTGATGTACTTGGTGCGGTCCTTCTCCTGGGCCGTATAGTGCTTCTCAAGGGAGCTCTGGTCTGAGTCTGCACCATCCCTGTGAAGCACCAGCAAGGTAGTGATGTACTTGGTGCGGTCCTTCTCCTGGGCTGTATAGTGCTTCTCAAGGGAGCTCTGGTCTGAGTCCGTACCATCCCTGTGAAGTATCAGCAAGGTATACATGCAGTGATGTACTTGGTGCGGTCCTTCTCCTGGGCTGTATAGTGCTTCTCAAGGGAGCTCTGGTCTGAGTCTGCACCATCCCTGTGAAGCACCAGCAAGGTAGTGATGTACTTGGTGCGGTCCTTCTCCTGGGCTGTATAGTGCTTCTCAAGGGAGCTCTGGTCTGAGTCCGTACCATCCCTGTGAAGTATCAGCAAGGTATACATGCAGTGATGTACTTGGTGCGGTCCTTCTCCTGGGCTGTATAGTGCTTCTCAAGGGAGCTCTGGTCTGAGTCTGCACCATCCCTGTGAAGCATCAGCAAGGTAGTGATGTACTTGGTGCGGTCCTTCTCCTGGGCCATGTAGTGCTTCTCAAGAGAGCTCTGGTCCTAGTCTGTTCTAGCCGTGAGAAGCAGTCCTTCTCCTGGGCCTTATACTGTGCTTCTATAGTGCTTCTCAAGAGAGCTCTCTGATGTGAAGTGAGCTGGTAGATCTGCCATCACCTGGTCAAGAAAATTGAATATTGTCAATTTGAGAAAAAATGTTTGATACTGATTGAGACATTTACTTGTATTCATTATTAGCTATCCTGCAAACTCGAGTTGAACAAGGTTAAAAAAAAAAATAGGTTAACCAGTTTGCATCGGATAACGTGTATACAACCAAAGATTTTGCGGTATTCGTAGCGGATGACAGATGAACAAGCAATGATAGCTGAGTCCTATAAATAAAGATGTCAAATTGGTTCAGAGAACTCTTGGAGTTTTTAAGAATAAATTATTGTTTCACTGAAGAAGAAGTGTCTTTGCTCCCTTATTAGTCCCATCCTTGTAGATAGGATAGGATGCCTGGTTATATATCTTTGATACAAACGAATCCGGGAAATATAAATTTATAGTGACTTGGCATCATTACATCTTGCAAGGTGACAGAAGAAAGTCCTGAATAGCGCCCTCTACCCCACCTCACCCGGCCACAGCATTACCGGTACATGGCAAAAACAATGAAACAAGCCCATTGGTTTTACTTTAAACATGCCAGACCTTACTCCATATTTTTTATACAATTTCCTTAAAACATAAGTAGTGACTACATGTATCAAAGGTTATTAATATTGTTGTGCCCATTCTTGAATATCACGCATTCTCGAGAATGGGCATGCACATTCTTGAGAATGTGCAACTGGATCCTTGCTCAATCTTGGCAAAAAATAACTCTTCCAGACTGAGCGCACATTCTCGAGAATGCGCGACAAGATAACGGTCTTGTCGATGCCGAGCACCGGCTGCGCTTGGCAAGTCTAGCTGAATCCTCGTTCACTGATTCTCAATAATTAGACTGTTGCAACGCAAGGCGCTGAAAAGTAGAGTGGATATGATAAGTAAAGGCATATTGATATGGGGGGGGGGGGGGACCGGGAAAAAATAAGAGACATAATAATACTAGTGCAAAGAATTCTGATTTTTGGGATAATAAAAGCGGGGGGGGGGGGGGGGGGGGGGACACGCAAGAATGAAGAATGTGAAGAATGAAATGAATACTGCGACATCCCATAGTGCTAATGCTATTTCCCATTTAAATTGCCACCAATTTATTGTTCACATCCCACCATAACGTCGCAGAGCTGGATTCTATCTAGTCAAAAGAGCAATTTTGGCAGCTTCTGGACATCGTTTTTTTTTCGTGGCACGCATATGATACATGCAGGGACTTGTAACTTGTCTAGCCTAAACAAAGCACTTCCCAGACTAGTTCCCAGTCCTCCGTTATTACAAAACTTCCCAAAGTGGGCAGAAAAAAGCAATAATAACAGGTTTAATATGATTCAAATTATCGTAGTTATACGAGTACAGAAGCATAGAACATTTTCTTTCCTCTTTATATGAATTGTTTCCCTTTTAACCGCTATACAATTCATTTAACATAATTATGTCGTGCAATGTTTGTTAAGATTGGGCAAAATTCATAAATTGTGCACGTGATATTCCCACCCAATCTTAAGAATGAGCGCTCATTCTTAAGAACGCGTGCTCGTTCTTAAGAATGGGCGCTCATTCTTAAGAATGCGCGCCCATTCTCGAGAATGTGCATGCCCATTCTCGAGAATGCGTGATTTTCAAGAATGGGCACAACAGCATCACTAAATCTGAAAATAAAAAGAAAACAAAAATCCCCCACTTGCATTATTGTCCATTCAGCCATAAAAAATCGTTGTGCGTCAATTTTGATCTGTTGAGTCAATTTCTTTTTTTCTTTAAAATTGTCTGTAGCTACAACAGTGCCCTTTAGTGCTGCACCGCCTCAAATATTTAGCACTAAGGAGCACAAGGGCACCAAGACAAATGATAGGGCACCAAGTCAAATGATGTAACACCATATGAGAACTCAAACAAACAAAGCAGTACCACTTTGCTATTTTTTCCCAAGCTTGGATGGTACAGACAAAGAATATTTTTTTAAATCACTACATCAAGTCCAGAACTTTGGTCTGACCAGAGACCCACTATTTTTCTTTTTTTTGCCTCACGGCCTGTGCGCAATTCTGTCTCACGTTGGAGGAATGCCCCATACATGTAGAGTCCCCAATTTTCGGACTAGGCATGAACCAAGGACTCCTCAATTCATACTAGGATAACTGAGATTACAACTTGAAATAAAAAGGAATCAAACCAAACAAGCAGTAGGATCTGAACCAAAAATGTTTCAATTCATTCAAGGATAACTAAGGCTACACCTTGGAACAAAAGAGGAATCGAACCAAGGTCAAACCCATAGCCTACAGGACTCAAACTTGCTACTTACTTTATCATCAATGGTGTCAATCTAAGTCAGCACAGCTCCGTCAATCAGTGGAGGTCGATCCATGTCTCAATGGTGTGCTCAATTGATTGCCTGGTCCACTGCTTCGTTACCACCCAAATAACTCCCCAACCAAGAGAACTAACTTAGACTGGTTGATTTTTATCAGCTGTTTGAGCAAAAAGTAACAGTAATCATAGGAAAATGAGACATTTTTTGTCTTTGTACAGTTCTCTCTTGAAGGCATTACTAGTGTTCAAAAATTACCAACATTCCAAAAGGTGTTATTACATTGAGAGAAGTCTGCTTTAGGTTGACATCATTTTTTAGAAATATAAAAAAACATTGATTTGAATTTGATCAAAACAAAACAGGGGCCCTACACTATACACGATTGCCAAAATGATGATACTGATACCGGTACTTAAATCTGGGACTGCATGCACTGAGAAATAACATTCCCAATTGTGTTAGGAAAGTAACTCAGCATTTTTTTCCTGACTCTCATTCGTGTCCATAGACTTTATACACACACACACACATATTGTTGATGTACCCTAACGTGGCGCGGCCCCTAACGTGGCGCACTTTGATTTTTCGCATGTAGCGCCTACCTAGAGCAAAAGTTGTAACTGTTTCTGTGAAATTTCATCAAGTTCTAAACACTCCTGATCATAAATCGCGAGTTTATTTACCCGTAACAAAGTCAGAAGGAAAAATTATTTTGGCGTGATTTTCCGATTTTATTTTCAAGTGCAAAGTGAACCCTTTGAAAATGCCCTGAAAAATGAGAAAATAATTTTTTGACAAACATCTGGCTGGGTACTCCTAGAACTATGAGGCTCCACGTAGTGGAGCCTCATAGGTTCAGAACCCCGCAAAATTGTTGTCAGCACAAAACACTAATTAAGTACAAAAACGTCCATCCCAACGAAGCCGTTTCCCACAGAACCGCTGCACAGTTTGCCCCTAAACTCCGTACAATACCTCATGACATACTCACGCTATGTGCACCCAACAAACATCGGTGGATTCTGTCGGTTTTTTGCAAAAATGATGGAAAATATGCCCTTTCCGCACTGAGCCATCCTGACACTTGAAATTTGCACGCGCGCAGAATGATCGCAGTCATTTTCGGTCCGATAGCTCGGAGCGCGCCGCGGGGGGTACGTACTCGCACTTGTACGCATGCGCATACTATCGTTCCGCTCCTACACCATACCCCCCGCGGCGCGCTCCGAGCTATCGGACCGAAAATGACTGCGATCATTCTGCGCGCGTGCAAATTTCAAGTGTCAGGATGGCTCAGTGCGGAAAGGGCATATTTTCCATCATTTTTGCAAAAAACCGACAGAATCCACCGATGTTTGTTGGGTGCACATAGCGTGAGTATGTCATGAGGTATTGTACGGAGTTTAGGGGCAAACTGTGCAGCGGTTCTATGGGCAACGGCTTCGTTGGGATGGACGTTTTTGTACTTAATTAGTGTTTTGTGCTGACAACAATTTTGCGGGGTTCTGAACCTATGAGGCTCCACTACGTGGAGCCTCATAGTTCTAGGAGTACTGGCTGGGTATGTAAACTTGTAGAGATAACAATTATTTATCAGAATTTAGGCCTATCAAGTTTACAGAAATTCTTAAGTGTTAATTTGGAATTTTCCAAGATATATTCAAGTGCGCCACGTTAGGGAACACTTCGCCTATTTGTGCCCAATTTCCGGATGCCACCGTTTTTGAATTTCGGATTAAATTTTATGAAACCGAATTTGTTCACAGAGGTTAAATAGCAAGCATTAATAAGGTAAAAGTACTAGTATTTCACTGCATGAATTTGAGGTTTGTCAACAAAGAGGTTTGGCAACAGTACACAAGGAAAGTCGGGTAAGCTTCGAAGTGCGCCATGTTAGGGAACACGACTATACCCATGTTAGTTTTATATATGCTATGTGGACATTCCTTTGTTTTCGTGTAGTTAAGAAAACTCGGTACAAAAAATAACTTTACTTAAACTGTGAAAACTCTCAACCCAATTTTTTTTCTATGATTCCCTATACTATAGGCCATAGTGTTTCTCTTCACTCTGCTAAGGATAAACCTAACCCAAAAATGCCTCTAGGCTCTAAACCTGTTTTCCAGAATGGGCAAAACGTTATGTGGACACGGCTAATTAGTCCACATAACGTCAACACAACCTGCATTATGTGGACATATTTTGTTCACAAGTGAATGTAAAGACAAACTCAGACACACACACACACACACCCATACTTGTTTCACATGACTAGTGTGGACTTTCCATTGCTTTCGTGTAGTTAAGAAAAACCAGTGAAAAAACTCATTTTTCTCAAACTGTGAAAACTCTTTCAACCCAATTTTTTTTCTATGATTCCCTTCAGTGTTTCTCTTCATTCTGCTACAGATAAACCTAACCCAAAAATGCCTCTAAACCTGTTTTCCAGAAATGGGGAAACACTGTGTGGACGTGGGGTAAGTCCACACAACGTCGGTGCTACCTACATTATGTGGACGTCTTTTGTTCGGAAGTCCACACTGCGTATGTAAGACAAACTCACCCACAATCGCAGAAGTGTCGCCAGGATGCAACATTTAGGCAAACACTGACATCAAGGGAATTTTTCTACCTTGGGATTATCTGCACCGCCGTCATGACATGCGAAATGATGCGATCGGCGATGACATTGGCTATGAGTATGGCTCATCCAACAACAACAGAAGATGATCAAGCCCACGTGAAGGTTTGCTAGCTACACATGCCCTAATGCCAGAACTTCAGAAGTAAACGCGAGTTCCAAAGACTCCTCAATATTCCAAAGGAACGGAGAGACAGAGGTTGTACACCATGTCTGCAGTCCTATGAATATTAGAAATATGATAATGAAATAAGAGCATGAAACTGGAGTGGGAGGGTCTCAACCAAAGACCCATAATCACAAACGCAGAAAGGTAAACAAACTACACACCAAGCAAGACAGCTGCATGTTTGGCAATTAAACTGTGTTTGGCGCCCTCAATATTGAGGGCGCCAAACACGTTTCATTGACTGCACCAAACCATTGTGGTAGCAGACCAGTAAATAAACTTCCATAGACCCCAATGGTAAATGCTCCCACTTCAAAAATTCGGGAAAAATACTCACAACTCTCCAAGGTGTTCGAGACACAAATCAAATTCAAACTTATTTCATCATCTTTCATTTTCTTTTCAATTTTCGGGGGGTCAACTGATGACTTTTAGGAGAAATTTCCATCTGAAGATGATCACCCCTGAAAATAGTCCTGAAGCCCATCGCCATTTTGAAAAACGATGCCTACACTCCATTGCAAAATAGAGCGCTTTTAGGCCAAAAAAAAAAGTCTCCGGTTTCTGGTATGCGCGCGCGTCGCAGTAGCCATGCGCGTCGGCAAAATGAAAAAGTTTTTTTTTCAATGAAAGATGATGTCTCAAAACCGCCAACTCACTGGTTTGACTGGAATTCTGCTGCTGCACAATTTTAACGTGTTTTTTTTAGATGGGGTTATGATTGAGAATAAGCTTAATGTAGCCTCTCTGAACTCCCATATATTTGCACTAAGTTTAGTAGGGCACCATTTGCAGTCATCAGTCGACATTTGAAGCAAAAAAGTCAGGTAAAAAAAAAAAAAGCCGCGTCGCCACACCACTTTTTGGACAAGCTCCATACCAGAAACCGGAGACTTTTTTTTTGGCCTTAGGGTCCAAATTACATCAAAATTACACAAAACTGCAAGCTCCCAGTCCTGTGCACGGCTTCCACCCATATTTTTTACAAACCCTCAAGTTCATGGCCCACAGCATGCTCAAATACCGAAGATTATGAGGGCATGCAAATCGTGATTTGGCCGGCGCAGGCAATTTCGGACCGATTTACTGGTCTGCACCAATGGCACAAACCAACAAAGACATAAACGCACAAAAAAGCAAGCTGTGTAGAAAACATGTACATGCGTTACGCCAAGAGCGGATCCAGAACACAAGTTTTTTGGGCAGGGCGAAAAAAAATTTGGTCCCCCAAAAAGTGATTCCAAAAATTACGGCGTGGGGTTCGTGGCCCTTAAGGGTTAGGGTTAGGGTTAGGGTTAGGGGTTAGGGTTAGGGTTAGGGTTAGGGTTAGGGTTAGGGTTAGGGTTAGGGTTAGGGGTTAGGGTTAGGGTTAGGGGTTAGGGTTAGGGTTAGGGGTTAGGGTTAGGGTTAGAGTTAAGGGATCTTCTGTAGGCCGACCTCGGAGTATAAGGTCGGTGACCCCTGAGGTCAAAGGTCATGACCACCCGCAACTGTTGGTGGGGTCACAAGGTTATGCTCCCTAGGGGTCAAAGGTCACGGGGTCAAAGGTTACTGCACAAAGTATAGGAAAAAAACTTTGAGAGGTCATAACCTTTGACCCCTGGGGAGCATAACATTGTGACTAGTTCAAAAACCTCCGGGGGAGGTCATGACCTCTGACCCCAAAGGTCAAGGTCATAGGTCATTGGGGTCAGGAGTTATGGCCAAAAGTTGTCTATTTCCGACACCCCAAAATAAAGAAAAACATAAGAAATTCTAAAATGGTCTGAAACGTGTAAAAAACATATAAGTCAATATGGGTCAAATATAAGGGAATGGGTTAGTACTTTGTCGTTTTTTCAAGTGTGTGTATGCGTTAACGCATAGGGCAAGGGCTTGTGCACAAACCCTATGGCAATTCGACTTTGTACACATATCAATGGAAGTACTGGATGCACGCCAGTATTTGGGATGTATTAGAGCATTAGGGACGAGTTGGCACCCTGGTCCCGAGTTATTCGTTTTGGGCGGTCTGCAGGACCGTACCTAGGCACGGATACCCAGTTTTTGACCCTATTTGACCCTATGATAGTGTTATTGGACCGTTAAAAGACTACCCTAACCCCTTTTACCCTGATTCGACCGTATTTACCCTATTCGAGACGGTTGAACAATATTTCGGGCGATTTTACCCTACATCACAGCGTATAACCCTACCCCTATAGCTAATCCCTCTATTTCCGACACCCTAGCCCTACCCCTATGTAATATCCGTCTATTTGCAACAGCTAGCCCCATCCCTATGCCAAATCCCTCTATTTCCGACACCCTAGCCCTACCCCTATGTAATATCCGTCTATT